TGTGTGTGTGTCTGTGTGTGTGTCTGTCCATGTGTGTGTGTGTCCATGTGTGTGTCTGTCCATGTGTGTGTGTCTGTGTGTGTGTCTGTCCATGTGTGTGTGTGTGTCCATGCGTGTGTGTGTGTGCATGTCTGTCCGTGTCCATGTGCGTGTCTGTCCGTGTGTGTGTGTGTCTGTCCGTGTGTGTGTGTGTCTGTCCGTGTGTGTATGTGTTCATGTGTGTGTGTTGCTGTGTGTGTGTCCATGTGTGTGTCTGTCCATGTGTGTGCGTCCATGTGTGTGTCGCTGTGTGTCTGTCGCAGTGTGTGTGTGCGTCCATGTGTGCGTCCATGTGTGTGTGTGTGTGTCTGTGTCACGGCGCCGTGGCAACAGTCGCTCCTCCATCATCTCCTGTTCATGTGGTTTCTTCTGTCCTCTTCTTCTTCCTCCTTTTCCTCGTCTTCGTCCATCAGCTTCTGCTTAAAGGAGCTACTCAAAGAAAGTGACTGTTATCATTCCGACCCACAATCCTTTGCAGGTAACAAGGTCAAAAGTCCAGATGAAAAGTACAGTGTGTGTATCTGTGTGCGTCTATCTTCTCACATCTTTACATAACGTGTGCGTGAATCTTTTTCTGTCTCCATGGCGACAGCATCCCAGCAGCAGGGGGGGGGCGAGCACGTGCAGGAATGTCACATGCGTGTTGATGATGCGTGACGGGACAGACGGTCAGTGAGACAGACAGGCAGCACCCGTCTGTCCTTCTAACACGGTGACTTTTGTGAGTCAAATATGAATCATCAGCTGATATTATTGATTCATTTGATCCGTTTGTGACGGCTTGTCTTTTATTTCTCTTTCACTGTGGAAATAATGTGCTATTTTATGTCATTTAAAGGGCCAGTACATGTTCATACACATGTCTTTATTTCTTCTGAAGACCAAATACTCACTTTAGAAAGCTTGTGTTTTAGACTGTGTTGTATTTTAAACACAAAGTGCACACGTGGTCGTGTTGGAGGTGGAACACGTCCAACCGTCCCACAGTGAGCAGGACGTGCAGGGACGCGCTGGTGGTCCTCTGCAGGCGAGATGTTGAGGTGGAAGCAGCCTAGCAGCTGGCTCTGAAGCTCTGTCCATCGTCAGCTGTCGCCTGCTGTGTTCTGGCGCTGTGATTGACAGGTCCGTTCACGTCTCGTCTCCGTCCCTCCTCCTTAGTCCAAATATGGTCACTTCCTGTTGACTGGTTGCAAAGAAAACAAAATGGCGACGGCCAAAACGCCAAACTGGGGGCTTCACAATCGGCAAACCAGTGAAGTCACCACGCAGCGCTGACCCGCTGCCTCTGGCGCCGTGGTAACGTTATGGTACGGTAACAACAACAACAACAACAACAACATCTCCTCTGCAGCTCCCGAGCCGCCGGTTGCATAATCCCTCCGTGCTGCAGTGGCGGGAAACCCCTCTCACCCCCCCCCGTCCCTCCCGTCCTTTTATGGTGAGGGGGACACCTGCCGTCACGGCCGGATGCCAGCCCATGTTTGGGCCGCGGCGAGAGGGGAATCCTTCCCGCCGCGCGCCGACCAATAGGCGGCACGCCGGAGTTACCATGGAGACGGAGGGTATAAAGGCTCGCTGCGAGGAGAGGGAACCATCGTCTCCACTAGCGGACTACCCAGCACACACCGGGACACCACGGCGCCACAGCGGGAGTCCCCTCTCCTCCATCAGCCTCTTTGGTCCCCCGTGTCTCTGCACGCCATGCTTCTGGAGCGGGAGGACAGCTTCATGTCGGAGTTTGAGGACGCGTGCAGCGCCTGGGTGGACAGCGTGGGCTCGAGTCCCAGCGACGGAGCCGAGTCCGACGGGGACTCACCGTTCTGCCAAGGTGGGTCATCGGTGTGGTCCTCCGTAATGTTCTGCTTATTCGAGCAGCGACAGGTGTTACTGATGTTTACAGCTGTTTGATGACACATTATGCAGAGACTCACCCCCCCCCCCCCCCTCTCCCCTCAGTCTTCTCTCCGGGAACCGACGCCTCAGACTCGGATTTCTTCTCCGAATTCAGCGACTGGTCGTCGGAAGCGCTCTCTCCATCCCTCAGCTTCTGCTCCGAGGCGGCGGCGCTGCCGCACGCGGCGGCAAACGCGGCGCCGCCGCACGCGGCGGAGGGGCTGAGCAGCACCGCGGACGCGATCCTCAACATGATCACGGAGATCGTGGGGATCTGCACCGAGATGGAGTTCGAGTCCTCCCCGGGGATCTGTGCTCCGTCAGGGGCGACCCCCTCCGCTCCGCTCGGCCCCCCCGTGGTGGTCAAGAGCGAGTTCGCGAGCTCCAGCTGCGGCAGCGGGTGTGCGCATTCCCCGGTGACCGGGAGCGAGGCCCCGTACCCGGACTCTCTGCTGCCGCTGTCGGCCCTGGAGCAACAGGTGGACGTGGCCGCTTTCCTCGACTCGCTGCTGAGCTCCGAGGCCGGCCAGGGCGAGCCGAAGCCCGGCGCGGAGGTGAAGCAGGAGCCGCCGGGGCTGGAGGACTGGCTGAAGAGCCTGGCCCCGGTTACCGGGGGAGATTCCGTCAGCTACGTCATCAAGACGGAGCTCGTGCAGAGCGGGGGCGACCTCCACTTCTCCCCCCCCCCTCTCCCCTCCACCCTGGATGCTCAACTTCTCTCCTCCCTCCTGCAGGGCGCGTTCCCGATGGTCAACATCGGCGGCGTGCACGCAGCGGGAGCCCCCAAGCCGCCGCGCGGGGGCAGGAGAGCTCCCGCCAAGAGCGGGCTGAAAGTGAAACCGTTCCCGTGCTCCGTGCCCGGGTGCGAGCGCCGCTTCTCGCGCTCCGACGAGCTCAACAGGCACGTGCGCATCCACACGGGACAAAAGCCCTTCCGGTGCGCCATCTGCGCGCGCAGCTTCAGCCGCAGCGATCACCTGACCACGCACACGCGCACGCACACGGGGGAGAAACCTTTCTCCTGCGACGTTTGCGGGAAGCGCTTCGCGCGCAGCGACGAGAGGAAAAGGCACGGGCGCGTGCACGTCAAGCAGCAGCTGCGCGCGCAGATGATGGCCGCCTACTCGCTGGCCCTGAACGCACCGGGCGTGTGAGCGGCTCCTCTGTTCTGATTGGCTGCAGTCTAAACTTCCGGATTGAAACCTGCGAGCGGTGGTGCGTCAGAGGCGTTTCCATGTGACGTCACTCTGAGGATGGGCAGGCGTTTAGAAGGTGTGACGGCCCATCTCACGGTGCATGCCGGGACTACGCTCCGCGGGGCGGATGTGGATCTGATCCCGGACCAGCCGGTCGACCCCCGGGCCGTCCCTGTGGGGGGGGGGGGGGGGGGGACCCTGGACTTCCTGCATGCGGCCGTGCAGAAGCTGAATGTTTGACGTCGGAATGTCGTTGTGGACTCGAACCTCTTTGTATCTAAAGTCTATTTGTTGGTAACACATCTCTATTTTTATAGTCGTCCACCTCTCTGCCTGACCGTTTGTGTACATTTATAGAAGCAACCGCCACATTTCTATGGCGGCGATGACGTCACTCTTCTATGACATGATCGTGATGTGACCTGTGATGCAGCGGGTCGGTCCGGTGTCGGTACCGATGCCGCGGGTTCATGTTCCCTCGTTTTGCATGGAGGATGCTGCTGTCAATAAAAACAAACAAACAGCCACAACGACTCGGTTTCCTTCATCATCCTCATCATCCTCATCATCCTCATAGGCTGACGTTTCATAACAGGCTGCTGTTGCCAGGCAACGGCTGCTCCTCTGGCAGGGCCTGTTGAAGCTTTATTTGCCATGTATACTCATTTAAACATACAATATATAACATATATATAGATTCACATAATTAATCATGAGAAAATACTAAACGACACACAGCGTCTCTGGTCATCTACACACGTATGATACATACGCTGATACATCGATCCTGTTCATTCGTATCAAGCTGGTTCTTTGGGCTTGTTTTCATCTACATACTCTGAAGGAGTTGAGATGATTATTCTCATTGATGATGATCATCATGAAGCCTCCTGCCAGCAGACACATTTAAATAGATATAATGTGATTGATTAGAGAGACGAGGCCCTAAAATGAGCCGTTACATTTGACCGACACGCATTACGTTAACGTGTGTGATACTTTGTGGGGCTTGTGGCCTCCAGGGGGCGCTGTCAGTCTTTAACATCATTATAGGATTCATTTAATGTCATTTTGTATCACATAATATCTCAGATTATCCTCATGTGTCTTTACAGTGTGAACACATGTGACGCCCTCTGTGCAGAAACCTTCACATCGACAGGAGAAACTCCCCGAACAATGAAAAGGTATTTGATGGGGAGAATAAAGGGAAGACACCTGCTACCTGTCTGTCTGTCTGCTACCTGTCTGTCTGTCTGCAACCTGTCTGTCTGTCTGCTACCTGTCTGTCTGTCTGCAACCTGTCTGTCTGTCTGCTACCTGTCTGCTACCTGTCTGTTTGTCTGCTACCTGCCTGTCTGCCCGCTGCCTGTCTGCCCGTCTGTTGACCTGTCTGTGTCTCCTCCAGGAGTTCATGCCACCCTGTGGGCCCAGGCTGCAGGCTGCAGGCTGCAGGTCCATCACCAGCCTGCAGGTGGCGCCGGCTCACCCCTGGCAGGTGAACTCGGTCACATGACGCTCGGTGAGCGTTTGGTTCTGTCTCTTTATTGAGTGTTTGAGGCTCTCAGACATTTTGAGCCCTTTATGAACAATTTCCTTAATTACCCACAAGTCATTGCAATGTGACGTTCTAAACGGGATGACCAGTGAACGCACGGAGAGTAAAAACAGGTAAACAAAGAGGAGGCACACGCGTGTTCACGCCGTCACAATAAAATGTTCACGTTTGAAACATCAAGGACTGAAGATGGAGACAAACAACCCTATTTAGAATGACCTCTGACCTTATGAGGAAACAGCCAACGGCTTCAGAGAGTAAAACGCATCATATTTTAGACGTTGTCATGGTGACGTGGCAGCAGAGTGACGTCCTCCACAACATTTAAACACTCGACCCGGTGGACCCGTCAGTGAGTCCCTGAGGGGTCAGAGGTCAGGGGGCAGATTGGGCCACTTAAACACGCCAAACTAGCTTTAGACCCGCCTCTCTCTCAGCCAACAGCCCACTCGCTTTGGAAACCGCTGCTTGCAGACGATTGGTCGATGCTGGCCACACCTCCTCTCCCTGAGTGTGGGCGGGGCCGCGTGTGGGACTCAGGGATTGGCTGCTCTGGGTGACTCGTCTTCGTCTTCAGGTGACACAGTCAATAAATGTTGTTGGTCACACAAAACCAAATGTGTGACATGAGTAGGTGCATTCTGTGTGTGTCTGTGTGTGTCTGTGTGTGTGTGTGTGTGTGTGTGCGCACACCTGCCCTCCGCCGCAGGTTTGGAGCTGAAGCGCGTCACCGACTTCGGCCTGCAGGCGGCGATGGAGCTGAGTGCTGATCACACACACACACACACACACACACACACACACGGGTTGTCGTCGTCAGACAGGTGACGTGTGGATCCCTGCAGGTGCGTGTGCTCACATCTCGCCCATGATGGTGGAGGTCGACGTGTTGGATGACTTTGAGGAGGCGGAGTCTCAGGAAGCCCAGCGTCTGTGACATCACGGCGTGCTGAATGCTGCTCTCTGATTGGCTGCTGGAGCGTCGGCGTCTCTTTGTTCTTCAGGTTCTTCAGGGACGTCCTGCAGGTCAAAGCTGGGGGAAGCACACACGCACACGCTGAGGACTCCCTCAATGCATTGTGGGTAAAATGACAAACCAGAGGCTTTTCTAAACTCTTTTCTAAACCAACTTTATTTTACCTGAAAGTGTCACAAACTCTTTTTATACCAGTTAAGTGTTTTATTCTTTCACAGAATACAAAATAATCAAAAGTTAAATAGTTTTAAACATTAATAAAAAGCAGAGTTATTGATCTATTGTTAACCGCATCATCGTCTTTGTTCACAACCAACTTAAACCTTAAACACCACATTAACTATTATTATTCATATTTTATTCTGCTTCTCTACAAAAAATGTTTCATTTGACCTTTAATGAAGTCATTATTTTAGTTTATAAAACGTTTATTGTTCCTTTTATATTTATTTAAACACAGAACAAGCTCCGGTCTATTTCACTAACCAAAGACACCAATCAATCAATCAAGCTGTCAATCAATCAATAGATCAGATGTGTTGGAGTTGTTGATCAGACTAAATCCATAACGTGTCTTTAAGAATCTCAAAAGCTGCTAAATGTTTCATTTTCCATTTTCTTCCCACTTTTGTCTCCTGTGTCATCAATAAGTTACTGACTGTTACTACAGACACCTGAACTCACCACAGACTGTCCCACAGTTACTACAGACACCTGAACTCACCACAGACTGTCCCACAGTTACTACAGACACATGAACTCACCACAGACTGTCCCACTGTTACTACAGACACCTGAACTCACCACAGACTGTCCCACAGTTACTACAGACACCTGAACTCACCACAGACTGTCCCACAGTTACTACAGACACATGAACTCACCACAGACTGTCCCACTGTTACTACAGACACCTGAACTCACCACAGACTGTCCCACAGTTACTACAGACACCTGAACTCACCACAGACTGTCCCACTGTTACTACAGACACCTGAACTCACCACAGACTGACACCTGGGAGAAGTCCTAGAATGGTACTTAAATGTGCCCGTGTTCCTGTGTGTATGTGTTCTTCCTGTGTGTGTGTGCGTGTGTGTGTGTGTGTGTGTTGTTTCTGTGTGTGTGTGTGTGTTTCCTGTGTGTAGAGAGAGATGAAACATAAACAGGGATTTGTGGGAGGGTCAAAGTGCAAAGGTCTTACTGAGCGTGTGCAGCAGTGGGAGTGAACGACCTTTAACCCCAACGAGAGCGAGCAAGAGGATGTGATGAGAAACGACGTTGAGGAAACGTTAGCTGAGCTAAAGGGAAAGTGTGTGTGTTCTTCAACACACTGTGTGTGTGTGTGTGTGTGAGTGGGGGGCGGTTACCATGGTTTCCCTCACACGGATGACGCTGCTTCGCCTCCTGCTGCTGGCGGCCATGTTGGCTCTGCTCCTCTTCATCAGCTCCTTGTGGCTCCGTGAGTTTCCTTCGTCGATGTCGGCCATGTTGGATCAGCTGCTGTCAAGTATTTACTATACGAGTACATTTACTCAAGTACAAAAGTACCATTATGGATTTACCTGTACGGAATACTTAAGTATGTTTTAAAAATATATGTAAATATGTAAAACCAGCTGTTTCCTGTTTTGTTGGTCCTCCTTCAGCTCAGACTGGACTCACAGACTGTGGCGACTCCTGGCAGCCATGTTTGACCTTTTTCCGCCGAAAGGTGAGAACATGTTTGTGTTTGTCACCTTTAGAGCAGCAGGTCTGAGGATGAGCGATTCATTTAGAGTCTGGACGGAGAACTCTGACTGGCTGAGAGGGGGGGGTGACACCACCCGTCAAACCATCCTGATGGGGGGGGGACTCGAGGTTTTCAGGATGATGAAATTGATTATCCTTCTGAATATCAAATGCAGAACGTACACTTGTATCGATTGTTTATTAAATAACTCTTTTCAGAGTTTTTACTGGATGCTGATGTTAAAGTAAGTGTGCTGACGGAGGTAAGCCCCTCCCAGTTGTGGTGCAGCAGCGTGATGAGCGAGGGCAGTAAGAAGCCTCCTTCCATCCAGCACCTCCTCTCTGAGGCTCCTCAGCTCTGCTTCTGAGGAGGAACCAGAGGAACTCACTGGACCTCATGAAACCTTCTCAGTAGAACTCAGGAGAGAAAAGTTCTCCCAGAATTCATTCTTGTTACATAAATTGAGACTTTTCAGTAGTAATGTTACAATGTTGAGTCAGACATAAAAGGCTGAAGCTACTGACATTATTTTTTATTTGAATTAAAATACAGCTAGTTGACGTAGATCTATAGACATATAGATGTGTTTCTTTTTTCTGTCAGCCCGAGCCACCGTTATTCCCCGTGGAGGCGGAGCCTCCCGAAGCCCCGCCCCTCATGGAGGAGTGTCCCGGCCAATCGTTTCAAGCCCGGCATCTGCTGGCGTATTTAAAGTCCAGCATGGCCAACGCCGATGACGTCATGCTGGAGCCGTACCTACAGAGCTGGGACCAGCTCCTCAAGTACACGCCTTCTTCTAAACTAATGTCTGCAAACTGTGAAGCTACAGCGGGTTAGCTTAGCTTAGCATAAAGACTGGAGAAAGGGGGGAACATTAAGCCTGGCTTTGGTATCAAACGAGTCTGACAGTTTTGCCATCGCCATCTTGGCTTTTTGATAATCATTGAACAGGAAGTGACCATTTCCTCATAGACGTCTATGGGAGCAGAGGAGTCGCCCCCTGCTGGTCACTACAGAGAAGTAGAGTCATTTCCTCATAGACGTCTATGGGAGCAGAGGAGTCGCCCCCTGCTGGTCACTACAGAGAAGTAGAGTCATTTCCTCATAGACGTCTATGGGAGCAGAGGAGTCGCCCCCTGCTGGTCACTACAGAGAAGTAGAGTCATTTCCTCATAGACGTCTATGGGAGCAGAGGAGTCGCCCCCTGCTGGTCACTACAGAGAAGTAGAGTCATTTCCTCATAGACGTCTATGGGAGCAGAGGAGTCGCCCCCTGCTGGTCACTACAGAGAAGTAGAGTCATTTCCTCATAGACGTCTATGGGAGCAGAGGAGTCGCCCCCTGCTGGTCACTACAGAGAAGTAGAGTCATTTCCTCACAGACGTCTATGGGAGCAGAGGAGTCGCCCCCTGCTGGTCACTACAGAGAAGTAGAGTCATTTCCTCATAGACGTCTATGGGAGCAGAGGAGTCGCCCCCTGCTGGTCACTACAGAGAAGTAGAGTCATTTCCTCATAGACGTCTATGGGAGCAGAGGAGTCGCCCCCTGCTGGTCACTACAGAGAAGTAGAGTCATTTCCTCATAGACGTCTATGGGAGCAGAGGAGTCACCCCCTGCTGGTTGCTACACAGAATGCAGCTTTAACGAGTGAAGCTTCGACTTACAGCACAAATCTGATTGGTTGGTGCTACTTGGACTACGAAAAGAAATTAGATCCTAATAGTCTCAAATAAGTTAAAGAACATTTTAAATAAATGTTTTGATGTAAAAAGGAAGCTCTCATTATCCATTTATTTATTAATTTATGTATCTTATTTCACGTCTGGGTTTCCAGAAGTGACACGTTGTAAAACAAAGATAACAAAGGTGGAAGAACACACGTTTAATCCCTCTTTCAGCTTCATGGAGTCTCTCGGGACGATGGTCACTTTCTTTTCTGACAAAGTGAAGGAGAAGGTCGTTCTGATTCGAGAGCTGTCACTCAAACGCGACCTGGAGGCTCATGGGAAACGTGGTCCGGATGACAACTCTGGGCCTCAAAGGGAGGTGAGTGTCGCGAACAAAAAGGAAACGGCCCGATGATATGAAGTTATTGGGTGATTTCAGTTGTTCAGTTCTTCCTCTCGAGGCGCTTCGGTCCATTCGATCGATGGTGGAGGCGGAGCTAAAAGAGGGCGTGGTGGACTTCTCCAGGCGTACGGAATCAGGCTGCAGGACTCTGCTGCGGCTTCATCGCTCTCTGCTGTGGTTGAAGCTCATGTTGGAGGGTTTGGCTGAAGGACCAGACAGCGATGGACAATACAGAACACCTGGAGAGCTGAGCAGGTAGCATCGCTCCACAAGTGGGCTAAAGCTAACAGGTCCCTGGATGCTAGCTGACTGAGGTTAACGCTAACAGGTCCCTGGATGCTAGCAAACTGAGGCTAAAGCTAACAGGTCCCTGGATGCTAGCTGACTGAGGTTAACGCTAACAGGTCCCTGGATGCTAGCAGACTGAGGCTAAAAGTAACAGGCCACTGGATGCTAGCTGACTGAGGCTAAAGCTAACAGGCCACTGGATGCTAGCAGACTGAGGCCAAAGGTAACAGGTCCCTGGTTGATAGCAGACTGAGGCTAAAGACCACAGGCCACTGGATGCTAGCAGACTGAGGCTAAAGCTAACAGTTTATAGGGTCATGACATCATTAGCCTAACTTTCCCAGGTCATGCTAACATGTAGTAATGTGTCAGGATATGATTCACGGGGCACATTCACATCTTAACGCTCCCCCAATGTGCTGCCACTTTCCCCCGTTTGACTCCGCTCATCAGAGACACAATACGAAGTTCACGGTTTGTGTGTTTGAGTCACAATCGTCATGAATTGATTTATTCAGTTCAAAGCTTTAAACACCAAAGCCACAGTGTCCTCATAATCACCTCCTGTTGTCCATGCATTGTCCACTAGATGGCACAGTGGAGCGAATGAGCCTCAGTGCTTCTCGCCATCACTAACGTGCCAACGCTCCTCCCTCAGGGCGGCCTACATGGTGGCGTTGGCGCCGCACCACCCCTGGTTCCTCCGTCAGGCTGCAGAGTTCGTCTTCCTCGCCCTCCCGGACCGGCGTTTTTTCCTGCGGCTGGTTTGCGCACGCAGCCAGCGGGAGGCCACGCCCCTTCTGCTCGCCGTCATCCACGCCCTGGAGCTCGTGCACTCACGAACGCAGCGAATCCTGGCTGAACACGGCATGCTGGAGCTTCCCTGAACGCAGCACGGAGACCTTTTCATCCCCGTTTCAGTGACACATGAAGCGTTTTTATTATTCGTCATTTTGGTTCTTAGATGAGGAAAAATTCAAATGTTACAAAATAAAGGTTTTATAAAGCAGGTTTGCATCCACATGATTCAATCTGGAACCAAACAGACGTTATTTAATCGTTCTGATAAAAACTATTTAGTAAGTAAATAAAGTTGTCAGATAAAAGTAGCGGAAGAAAAGTAGAAGTTAAGAAAACAAAGTTCCTCAGAAATATTTAACTATTGAAATAAAAACATTTCACGTAACAATAAACTTAATTAAATCAGGAAGTTGAGTAAAAGTGAAAGAAATAAAACGACTGGTTGGTTTTATCATGATTGAGATACTTTACACATTTTCTATTCTAGTTTAAAGGAATCTATTGTTAAAATCTTATTTTTTTTTGTATTGATCAAATAATCACAGCTTTTTTATTTTTATATATTCTTTCTTAATAAGAAGAATGTTTTTTATATATTATTATTATATATTATAGCCTGTAGGTCACCTGGTCCGTGGCTGACCAGGTGACCTCAGTGAGTCCCTGAGGGGTCAGGGGTCAGGGGTCCGGGGGGTCTCTTGGACTGGGCTTCATTCTCTCCCCTTCAGCTCCATCGTGTCCACTTCTTGTATCTCAGAGGGCGGCCCTCAACGCCGCCTGGATAGGTACCACACACAGGTCAAAGGTCAAAGGCAACCACGGTGTAGAGATGGTACCGTTTGGGTTTGTTACGATTCCGGTGCTACAATGAGTGTTTCCCCACGGTGAGAGGAGGGTCTATATTAGTTTATTGGACTTTTATTGGACTCATATTAATCATTTAATTTCTGATTCATGCTCATTGTGCAGGAACTACACACGTGTAACATGTATGTAAAAGCGTTTGTTTGATTGGCGCTCTTGTGTGTCTCATGTATCAACGTCATATTAACACAGCAGAGCTGCACGAGGCAGATGGAGCTTCATGCTTCACATCGTGTACATGTAGTACACATGTAGTACACGTGTGTGTACATGTAGTCTTCTTTTTGTCCTTGCTATGAACCTTGTGGCCTGTAGAGGACACTAGAGGACATGTTGGTCGTATTCTTGTCCTTGTAGACGAGCTGGTCTTCATGTCCTCTCACTGTCTCTGTCTTTTAGACTTGTTCCAGTTCACAGTGTCCATCGACTTCGTCCGTCTTTCAGTCCAAAGCAAAGTGAGCCTTCTTCTCTTCACATGTGTGTATTTCTGTGTACTTGTACTGTGTAGGCTGCATGTTGCTGTACTTGTGTACTTTTTTGATGGATCGATCAGGCTGGTGATTGATGACGGCACCGGTGAGGCTCACGTGTGGTTCTCAGGCGCTCTGGTTCCTCCTCTGCTGGGATTGGCTGATTCTAAGTGGGAGGGGCTTCAGAGAGCGCTAAGAGTCAGAGGTCACGTCCGCGTCTACCCCCGGGGGCGGAGCTTGGTCAGTCCACTTGACAGGAACCGGTGATGATTACCTGTGTGTATTTACACGTGTAATCACATGTGTGTCTCTCTCAGGTGTGCGACTCTGATGACCCTCTCCTCCACTTCCTGTTGTGTGTGTACAGCAGTGATGTTGTGTGTGTGATGTTGTGTGTCGCCATGTTACCATGGTGATTGAATCAGAGTTTCTCTGATCTCAGGGTTAACTTACTCCGAGTTTTCACATAACCCACTTTCTGGAAACCCCCCAGAAGGAGTATGAAGTTATTCTGCTTTGTCTTGTTGAACCTGCTCAGGTGAGACCACACCTCCATGATGGTCCCATAAGGCGCCTTGATGAACCTGTAGTCTGCTCCTGGTAACTGATGACGCTCTTGCGGAACAGGACGTGAAAGCAAAGAGACTCTTTAGCTTGAGGGCCTCGTTCCTCGTAGGTTCCTCCTCACTGAGTCAGGGTCACGTTCAGGACGACGTTAGATGAGTCAGCAGGTTTGTCTAAATCACCACAGCAACACGTCCACAAACCTGAACCTGCTCCAACGCAGCTTCATCTGAGCTGCTGGATCAGTTCTTCACTCCTCGTTATCAGTTAGATGAACGTTTCTCTGAGATCACATGATCCGTTATGACGTCACTTCCTGTACGAGCGCCATCGATGCTGAAGGCAGAAACATTTACAAGAAGACCTTCTGGAGCAAAACGTTACGTGATGAACAACATCACGGGGTCGTGGTGGGGCAGGAGGTAGAGAGGGTGTGCTGGGAACCGCAAGGTTGGTGGTTCGAGTCCCGGCTGTCCCCCGTGTCTCAAGTCAAAGTGTCCCTGAGCAAGACACCGAACCCCTAAATGCTCCCGAAAGAATGTAAAAAGACGTGAGTTTAAAGTGTAACGTGAGTCACTAAGCGTCTGATAAATGACCTGTGATGTGACACACGCTGCAGCCGAGCGTCCACTGTCCCACACGCTGTTCCACACACTGTCTCACACGCTGTTCTATAGTGTCCCACACGCTGTCCCATAGTGTCCCACAGGCTGTCTCACACATTTAAATTTCTACAATCAAAAATGACAAATTATCCTCAGAGGTCTTTACAGTTTGTACACATGTGACCTCCTCTGAGCAGAAACCCTCATCGGGACAGAACAAAGCCTTCGATGGGGAGAATAAAGGAACCTTTAGAGACACAGAGGACGATCCTCCTCGGGACGGACAGACAGCGATGGACAGACAGAATGAACAACATGAAAGATAACACGTTACAACACGTTCAATTCATCCGACACAAATGATTCAAATACGCAGATTATGGTTGTGAACTCCTCGTATGTGTTCATCATCATCATCATCATCATCACCATCATCTTCATCATCATCATCCTCCTCCTCATTACATTACATTACATTACATTACATGTCATTTAGCTGACGCTTTTATCCAAAGCGACGTACAGTAAGTGCATTCAACCATAGGGTACAAACTCAGGAGAACAAGAAACAAGAAAGTGCAATTTCCTCAAATAAGCCAATTTACAATTTGCTATAGATGAGTGACGTTACAAGTACAATTTAAGTGCTACAATTTGTTAGTCTTTAGTCGAGGTAGAGTCTGAAGAGGTGTGTCTTTAGTTTGCGGCGGAAGATGTGAAGGCTCTCTGCGGTCCTGGTGTCTTCAGAGAGCTCGTTCCACCATTTCGGCGCAAGGACAGCGAAGAGTCGAGACCTAGTCGAGTGTTTTGCTCTCAGTGAGGGAGGGACGAGTAGTTTTGCAGATGCAGAGCGGAGAGTGCGGGTTGTGACGTAGGGTTGGACCATGTCCTGGATGTAAGCTGGACCCGATCCATTCACAGCGTGGTACGTGAGCACCAGTGTTTTGAACTGGATGCGGGCGGCCACCGGTACCAGTGAAGAGAGCGGAGGAGTGGAGTAGTGTGGGAGAATACCATCATCATCATCATCACCATCATCCTCCTCCTCATCCTCCTCGTCCTCATCATCAGGTCAATGTGATGAGTGTGCTGTGTGTCGTTCCGTGTCCTCAGGTCTGCCTGGTAACCGATGACTCATCAGCAGCTCTGCTTCCCATTGGCTGCTGAGGAGGAAGTGAAAGTGAAGAGCGGGACTTTCCAGCACGCTGCTGCGTTCAGGCGCTGCAGGGAACCTGAGCGTCTTGTATCTGTGGTATTGGGAGGTCCTGGCTGCTCTGAGGCCCCTGAAGGCCTCCAGCGGTCCGACTGGTTCTGGTGGTGAACAGAACGAGGAAACTGGAACTTTTAACTTGTTTTCACATTAAAAAGTGAAAAGTGTTTCTCGTGTTTCACAGCTTCTCTTTCTGTGAAGAGTCGCTTTCATCACGTTACAAAATCACAGCTTCTACTTTAATCCTCCATCCATTCAGGGTCGGGGGGGCAGCAGGTTCCAGATGCTTCTGGAGGGTCCTGAGGCCTTCGATGCTTCCTAGTTCCCTCAGATGACTCCTTGGACCGAAGGAGGAGCGTCTCAACTTCACGTCTTCTGTATTCATTCCTTCTAAACAATCATCTCGTGAATCTTAATGTTGAAGATGAATCTTTAGTTTAACATCTGTATTTAAAGGCTTTATTCTGAAAAGCCTCTATGAACACAGTATTGATTATTGATTGAGTGGCGTCCGTCTGTCCTCATGTCTGGATATCAGAAACCATCTGAGCAGCAGTGTTTCTCTACCTGGACACTGATGACATCACGCCAGCTCTGCTCTCTCATTGGCTGCTGAGGCAACGAGCTCCGCTGCTGCTGCAGTTTCTCTCAGTTCTCTTCAGAAGGTTCAGAGTCTCAGTCTGGTTCTGGTCCACAGAGAGCTGATGAAGACCAAGACGATGATGAAGATGATGGTCGTCCTCGTCCTCTCTGGTGTCTTCTGTGTCTCAGCCGACGGTGAGTTTCTGTCTCACTTTTAAACTCATGTTTCAGTTCTGATACAAATACAACCAATAAACAGCCTCTTTGTTTACTAACAGACAACAACAACAAACAAACAAACCTTGTGTTTTCTCCTCAGGTCCACATAAGGACATTGCTATTGTTGGCTGTTCTGACTCTGATGGAGAGGAGATGTACGGTCTGGATGGAGAAGAGGTCTGGTACGCAGACTTCAAACACGGCAAAGGAGTCAGACCTCAGCCCAGTTTCGTGGATCCAATAGACTACAGAGAAGGAACTTATGAAACAGCTGTGGGTAATCAACAGATCTGCAGAAATAACCTGAAAATTGATCTGAAAGCCTTCAAGGACTTCCCACTGGAGAAAGGTAAAGACACTTCATACTTATTATACTTTGTATACACATATATACTTGTACACATATATATATATATGTATTATTTTACTGTGTCATTAAAGTGTTTTAACGTCTGACTTTCTGTTATTAAACAGTTTTATGTGACATGAAGTAAAAACAGCATCATGAAATCATTTGATTGTGTTTACTTGTTTGTTCTTTTAGCTGCTGGAATTTATCTTCTGTATTTACACTTTAAATCAAACTTTATTTAAGATATTTATTGTTGACTTTAGAGGTAAACAAATACAACGAGTCAACACCTACAGATAAACACCAGTCTGAAGAACAACAAACAAACAGTTTGTTTACTCACAAACTCCAGGTGTTGACGTAGGTTTCAGGAGGAGGACTCTGCTCCTTCGGTTCTCCGGGGAACCAGGTGGGTGGAGGTCAGGAGAACGTGGACAACAGGGTTCATCTGAGGCACCAAACCAGAAGCCAGAATGAATCCTGAAGGTCAAACTGGTTCTTCATGAGAGGGATTCTAATAAGAGCTTCTCTCTCTTCAGATCCTCCTTCCAGTCACATGATCTACCCCAAAGACGGCGTGGAACTGGGAGAGAAGAACTCGCTCATCTGTCATGTGACTGGTTTCTATCCTGCTCCAGTGACGTTCTCCTGGACCAAGAACCAGGACAACGTCACTGAAGGATCCAGCAGGAACGTTCCCTACCTCAACAACGACGGAACCTTCAACCAGTTCTCCACCCTTGAGTTCACCCCAAAGCTGGGAGACATCTACAGCTGCATGGTGGAACATCTGGCCCTGGACCATCCACTGGTCAAGTTCTATGGTGAGACACAACAAACAACTCACTTGTGTCTCCAGATGTGGAGGCTGAGCTTCATGTCTCCAGATGTGGAGCTGAAGGTGTCTTTTCTGTCTCCAGATGTGCAGGTGTCTCAGCCCAGCGTTGGACCAGCGGTCTTCTGTGGAGTCGGTCTGACTGTTGGTCTCCTCGGCGTCGCTGCTGGAACCTTCTTCCTCATCAAAGGAAACGAGTGCAGCTGATTGGTTAATGATCTTCATCATGTAGGAGTCTCATCTTCATCATCTTCATCATCTAATCCAGTCTAATTAATGTTGTTAATTATCTCTGAATCTCATTCATTTATTGAATTATTCTTCTGCTCTTATTTTGAAATAACGATGACGGCGTCGCGATGATCTCATCTTGTTTTCTCTCATCTGTTTCTTTTAATAATAAACTCTAAAATAAGAAGTCAGACCCGTTGACCTTTGACCTCTGCTTGTGTCTCAGAAGCACTTTTAACAGTTTGAAGAACACGACGTGTTTAAAGTATAAGAACTAAATTCAGAATGAATCTTGTAAACATGTTTGTCTGTAAGAAGCTCAGTGGCTTTTATTCATTTATGGAAAAATGTTTGTTTTCAAGTAATTATGATTAAAAATCAATAAACTGACTCAGCTGTTTATTAAATGTTTCCTTTTATTGATCTTCAGTATTTGTACGACTGACTCAACTTGAACCATTTAGCTTGGAGACAAGTTATGCTAAGCTAAGCTATGCTACTAAAATAAAAGCCTTTTCCTAAATTAACTGTTGCTTTATTCTTTCCATCAAATGAAAATGAATATAAGTTTATGTGTAATGTGACAGAGTTGTAGATTTTGTTGTAGAGGCTCAGAGCTGATTTTAAATACAACATAATCCACACAAACACACACACAAACACACACACACACACACACACACACACACACACACACACGCACACACACACACACACAAACACACACACACACGCACACACAAACACACACAAACACACACACGCACACACACACACACACACACACACAAACACACACACACACACACACGCACACACGCACACACACGCACACACACACACACTCTCACGCACACACACACACACAAACAGCTTGAAGATAATTTGCGGTTTTATTAAAGATCAATGTTAAATGTATGATATATAAATATATTAATTAAATATATTAAACAGTCTGATTATGTTTGTTTATTGAGATTCTGTAACATGATTTTAGAAATGTTGATTTCACTGAACAATAAAACAGTTTTTACTGCTTACACATGTTGTCAAAACTAAGTCTCCTTCTTTCAAAACACACAATTCTCAAAACTGCAAACACAAAATGCAAAATGCTGCACATCTCCTTCAAAATGCCATAAACACGTGTCAGAATGAAGCATCTGCATCAAATGACAAACTCTTCTTCCATAATAGTAAATGTTGGGATGTAACATGTAAACACTGCTGTTAAATCTGAAAGCTCTGCTCTTTCATAGGTTACATCTACATTTCAATACAACCTTCTACAGTGACAGTGACGTGTTGAGGAGGGTTACAAGTACACCGGGAACCCCCATGAGAGTTAGATACAGAGGATAATTATTGGGCAAAAGTATACTTTGGCATACACCACCCCTATAAGGTATTTTCTTTCCATGAGAATACAGTAGATTGTGTGGGGGTCCCCGGTCCAGGATTCGCAAGGGGGGGGGGGGGGGGGGCAGTCCCTGGTGCTCCATCTCTGCTCCGGCTTCCACATCACAAGATTCTCTCTTGCCAAACATGGAGGGAAGCATCTCCTAGCATAGCGTATCCAACCTTGGACAGAGGCCACTTCTACGTCCCCACATGTCCTCCGTCGCCTGGGGAAGCGGCGTGCGTTGGCGAGTTGGCGATCACACACTTCCCAGCGCCGGGCTGAGAAGAATTCCTCTATGGGATTTAGTAAAGCTGAACATGGGGGTGAGTACAGAACTACACATTGTGGATGGGTGGCAAACCCGTTTAGGACCAGACCAGCCCGGTGAAAACTAACATGGTCCCATAGAACCACGAATCTAGCAGGCGCCTGATCTGGATCAGGGACAAGCTGTGTGATCTTCATCCAGAACAGTGAGTATGTGGCCGGTGTTGTATGGAGCCAGTGTGATGGAGGACCCCATTTTGAGTGATGGCAGCACACATGGTTATATCACCCCCCCGCTGTCCAGGGACATTGGTAATTGCCCTCTGCCCCCCCGCTGTCTGGCCAATGAGGATATTCCCTGTGATGTGGATGAGATTCTCTGGCCGGATCCAGCTAGGCGGAGAGATGATGCGTAGTACATTACATTACATTACATGTCATTTAGCTGACGCTTTTATCCAAAGCGACGTACAATAAGTGCATTCAACCATAGCACAGTATTTGGGTTTTTTTGGTACTGGATATAATGTTTGTCTGATAGCTTACAGTGTTCTGCAGTTATGAAAACTGAGACAAGTTCAGTTGTTTTCGTTGTGATTCTCCATGTTTGACTGGTTTGTGTTTATGGAGATAATTAAATCATCTCTTCATCAGTCTGCAGCATTGGGCCTGTGTGGTGTTTGGTGAATTTATTGAATATTTGCACTTTCTGTGTACTTCACTTACACTACTCTCATCGGTGAGAAGTAGAGTTGCTAAAAGTGTTTTAGGTTTATAACAGCAGTGTGTAAGTGGTACAAACAGAATTACGTCATATGCAACGTGTGTGTTTCATACGGTAACAAAATATGGTTTTGTTAAATTAGTGTATAGTTTTTACAACAGTGTTTCATTTTGCAAAGGACCTGAGGTGTTTTGCTCATTGGGTGTGTGGTTGTGCTAATTGTGCGAGTGAAATGAAAAAACAAAGCAGTCAAAATTGTGTTTAAGCAATCGAGAAAATTTGTACCTGTAAATGATTCATGATAAATAATCAATAACGGCTTCATTCAGCTAAAAGGTTTTTAGTGTCATTGTAGTCAGACAGTATGTGAACAACAGTAAAAGTACAAGATGAAGACACATTATTAGATAAATGAATCATAAATGACCAGATGACCAACTACAAACAACACATGAAACTTAACGATATTTAATTGTGGTAAAAGTAATAACAAAAATAATGTTAATCTGGCTGTTAATAATAATACAAATCAATACATAATGATCATAATATCCTTATCGCTGTATTAATAAAGTACCATGGTGTCCTCAACAGTAATACTTGTATACTATCAGTACAATAGCACGTAGCGCGCTGGCGCTCACTCTGCTGATGTTGTCTGCCTGGTAACAGGTGATGACGTCGCTGACGTGGGTCACGTGACCTCCGCTCCGCTTTTTACAGCCGCTCTCAGCGCGTCTTTGTCACTTTGTCCGGTGAACACAGAGACATGGCTCCATCCTTCATCAGCGTCTCCCTCCTCTTCATCGGCCTCCACGCAGCAGGTAGGATCAATACTCATCAACACTGATCAATAAAGTGATCAATGCACCGCCTGTTTGTTTATAGACTGATCAGTAATCAATAACAGTGATCACTGATCCCATCTGTTCTTCAGATGGATTCATGGAGTTTGTGGCGACTGAATGTGTCTTTAACTCCACGGAGCTGAAGGACATCGAGTACATCCAGTCTTATTACTACAACAAGTTAGAATACACGAGGTTCAGCAGCTCAGTGGGGAAGTTTGTCGGCTTCACTGAACGCGGAGTGAAGAACGCTGCAGCCTGGAACAACAACCCTTCATATCTGAGTAGAGCGAAGGCTCAGAAGGAGGTTTACTGTCTGAACCACGTCCCGGTCTATTACAACAATATGCTGACTAAGTCCGGTGAGTCAGAGCGACATTATTATTATCATCGTTATTATTATCATCGTTATTATTATCATCGTTATTATTATCACGTTATTATAAATGTCATTACATTATTATCACATATTGATCAAATAACATGAACTAAACGCTGACGTCAGACTGAAGTCTTTCTCCACCTTGTGGTGAAGTTGTGCTACTACAGCTCCGACTAATATTACTACTTATTCATGTGCTCATCACTCATCACCTCATCGGACCCGAGAATCACTTCTTCATCTTCTCATGAACATTTTATATCAAATGAATCCATTAAATCGATCCAATCAGGAATATTACAAAGTCATTTAGTAAAATGACTTAAATAAATAAAGTCTGCTGTATTTAACTTCAAATCTGAGCTTCAACTTTGTAAAATAGTTTATAATAGTTAATATAATCAAATCAAAGAGAAAATCACCCGGTAGTTTATTCTAAAGTAATGATCATTTATTAGGAAATCCAACTAGAACCTGATACACATCTTCTGTAATAAATGATTCACGTTGTTATACATATTTTATATAGTTTACCCGTGTGGTTTAATATGTAACACATTTATAAATAATATAATGATGTTGTTTTACACCAAATTATATAATATAATTATATGATCAAATATTAAACAGAAGAAACACTTTGAATTCAAGTATCAAGTATTTATGGACACTTTATGGATATTATTGAGTAGAACATTAATGTTCTAGTACCTCTTTTATATTACCAGCAAACACCTTTTACAGTTTGTGAGAAGCTTTTATACTCAATGGGAACCTTTTAGAACCTGTAGAACCTTTTAGAACCTGTAGAACCTTTAGAACCTGTAGAATCTTGTAGAACCTGTAGAGCCTTTTAGAACCTGTAGAACCTGAAAGAACCTGTAGAACGTTGTAGAACCTTTTAGAACCTGTAGAACCTGTAGAACCTGTTGAACCTGTAGAACCTTGTACAACCTGTAGAACCCTGTAGAACCTGTAGAACCTTTTAGAACCTGTAGAACCTTTAGAACCTGTAGAATCTTGTAGAACCTGTAGAGCCTTTTAGAACCTGTAGAACCTGAAAGAACCTGTAGAACGTTGTAGAACCTTTTAGAACCTGTAGAACCTGTAGAACCTGTTGAACCTGTAGAACCTCTGTGGGACGGTTCTCTACCAGCGGCGTGCGACGTCGTTCCATGAGTTTCCTCTTTGATGTCAGAGTGTTTTTATCTGTGTACATGACTGGTACTTTGTACTGCAGCTGGTACTACTGCTACTACCTTAAGTACTCCTAGTACTAATACTCGTACCTGTGAGCTTCATAGAACAAACCCTCACCATGTCATATATTGTCTCCAGCTGAGCCCTACGTCAGGCTGCACTCTGAGACGCCCCCTGGTGGTGGACCTTTGTCCATGTTGGTCTGCAGCGTCTATGACTTCTACCCCAAGAAGATCATAGTGAGGTGGACCAGAGACGGACGGCCAGAGACCACCGGGGTCACTTCTACCGACGAGCTGGCAGACGGGGATTGGTACTACCAGACCCACTCCCACCTGGAGTACACGCCCAGGTGAGTCCACCTCCACCTCCAGGTGGTGCAGGTCCAGCCAGCTTCAGCTCCGATAAGTCCAGTTAGCTCAGGTCCAGGTCCAGGTGGTCCAGGTGGTCCAGGTTGATGAGGACAACCACTGATGTGCTGGTTTGTGTGTCAGCAGGTCTGGAGAGAAGATCTCGTGTGTGGTGGAGCACATCAGTCTGAGTAAACCTCTGGTTACCGACTGGAGTAAGTACCTGTCTGTCTGCATACCGGTCTGCCTGCCTCTCCACCTGTCTCTCTGCTAACCCGTCCCCCTGTCTGTCCTCAGACCCGTCCATGCCCGAGTCTGAGAGGAACAAAGTCGCCATCGGAGCCTCAGGACTGATCCTGGGTCTGACTTTGTCTCTGGCTGGATTCATCTACTACAAGAGGAAAGCCAGAGGTCAGAACACACCGATGTCCTCTGATGGGTCAGATTGGTCCAGAATAAGAGGAGACCTTCAGCAGGTCCACCAGAGTCTGGACCTGGTTCACCTGCTCCCTCTGACACCTGTCTGGTGTTTCAGACCAGTTCAGTCTGGTTTCAATGGTCCGGTATCTGCATTTAATGCTCATCTGTTCTTCTCTTTAAACCAGGACGGATCCTGGTTCCCAGTCACTGAACCGGTCCTGGTCTTGGTTCTGGTCCTGCTGCTCGTCAGATGGAAGGAAAAGCCGGACTGGATCAGATGTGGATGGGTGCTGGATCAGGTTCTGGAGCATCACAGCTGGATGTGGACTCTGCTTCTTCTACGTGTGACTCACAGCTTTTCTGTGTGAAATCAACATAAACGACTCGATTAGTTGAAATGAGACGTGATCAGTTATCTGAATGATTTGGGGCTCGTTGGTTCTGTGATTCTTACATTTATATTTTCTTACTGCAGTGAAACGTGTTAGAAACACAATAAACATCAGACAACTGGGTTTCTGTCAGAGTATTTTTACTGTTTAGTACAAGTACTTCTACTGGAACAGCTGTTCTCAAATACTATTAGAATTAGTACACATGTACTTGTGTTAAATAAGTATTTTTACTGTTTAGTACAAGTACTTAGTAGGGGTGTAACGGTTCATTTTAACAACGATTCGATTCAGTAACTTTACTGGACAGTGCAGGCAAAGTCTCTGAGATCCCTGTTGTTTCTTGTAAGGAAATCAGGTTTAAATTAATTACTGATATTATAAACAAGCAAACAACAATTAATGGCAAATGTATGAACCTTTTATTTGAGTCAAGTGCCATTTTCAATGTAAACATTACACAATAATTACACAATGTTTGGATCAATTCACAGACACCACATCGTCGGGTCGCACGTCTTTACAGATAAACTTGTTACTGTGATGAGTTTGGTGCTGGAGGCCTGAGGCGTCTGCAGAGCTGAGTTACCTGCTGCTGCTGCAGCGGTGACGCTGCTCGAGGTCCTGACTGTCGGCGCTGTTTCTCCCGCGGCGCCTTAGTAGACGGCCGCAAAGATTCCTCGTGTTTCCCTGGTTTTTATTTGTCTTCTACATTTTCTACAAACAGACCGACTTATTTAGAACACCTCCGTGTTTGCAAAAGCCAAAATGTTTCCACTGGATCGATACGTTGGTTTGTAAATGTCTCGCTCGCAGACGTCTCCTCCACGCCGTGTGTTGTTGTTGGTCAGAATTTCGCGCAGCGGCCGCTGCGTACTGATGACGTCACAGACAGGCAGACTGAATCCAGTAACGTTTAATGTGTCTAAAGAGCTAACAAACAAACAAACAAACACGCATCCACACCTTTTCTGTACTTAAATCCAATGTGCAGTTTCCAAGTATCGATACAATCGATTATGTACCATTACAATCGATTTGTAATCGATATATGTCGTCCGGAATGACGGTTTGCGGAGCACAGATCGATTCAGTTGGATCGCAGGAATATAAATCGATGAATCGATACACACCGAGTACTTATACGTCAACACAGTAGATGCACTTTGTTGTAGACCAACAACTAGTTTAAAAAAATCAGGTACCACTACAACGATACTACCACCTATAGTACAACATGGGACGCTGATTCATCACATTGTGTTTCTGCTCCTGAGGTTTGAGGCACAAAAAGAAAAGTACAACAAAAAATGGAGTGACGCCGAGTGCGAAAAGTGGCCGGTGGTAGCTGCCTATGATGTGAACGACCGAGGTCGCGGCGAGCTGCCGTCCACAGCGCAGGCTAAAACAATAAAGGGACATGTGTATCGACCGCGCACGCTAACTAACCCATTTGTAGTGGACGGTTTGGCCGGGGTGCGGAGGGGTTGCGGGGCGGGGGGGCTGCTGTCAGTCCGCTGGTGCTCTCTCTCCGCTCGCTGCGGTCGGTTAACAAAACGTTGCCCAAATGACCCTTTTCAGACTTCATGAACAAATACAGAATCCCTTTGTGTTCATTTCTAAAGCATCGCATTAAGACACTTCATTTAAGACGCTGCGCTACTTGCAGGTCGCTGTGTTGTGCCTGATTCTCAATCAAGTTAGAAACAATGATTTACGGCGAACGCATGGCCTAAGGATACTCGTTAACATGTCATTTGCATGAGGAGGAGGAACCGACCACCGACCAATGCCACCTGCCGATGAACCGACCAATGCAACCTGCCGATGAACCGACCAATGCCACCTGCCGATGAACCGACCAATGCCACCTGCCGATGAACCGACCAATGCCACCTGCCGATGAACCGACCAATGCCACCTGCCGATGAACCGACCAATGCCACCTGCCGATGAACCGACCAATGCCACCTGCCGATGAACCGACCAATGCAACCTGCCGATGAACCGACCAATGCCACCTGCCGATGAACCGACCAATGCCACCTGCCGATGAACCGACCAATGCCACCTGCCGATGAACCGACCAATGCCACCTGCCGATGAACCGACCAATGCCACCTGCCGATGAACCGACCAATGCCACCTGCCGATGAACCGACCAATGCAACCTGCCGATGAACCGACCAATGCCACCTGCCGATGAACCGACCAATGCCACCTGCCGATGAACCGACCAATGCCACCTGCCGATGAACCGACCAATGCCACCTGCCGATACACAGAGGCAGCTACCACCGGCCGCTTTTCGCACTTGGCCCTACAAAAAAAATGGCCGCCTAGAATATTTTATTGAGTAGATCAAGTATACCCCAGGGGGGGCGGAGTCAGCAGGTGAGTTTAGATGATGTCTCCTCTTTTTAATATGCTAATGTATCATTTATACGCCCCACGTCCATCTGTCTGTCTGTCTCTCTCCATCTGTCTGTCCCCCCGAGCAGCAGACAGCTGGTGAAGACGCTCTGAATGCTTCATGCTGCACATGAAGGAGACGAGACAGGTTCTTCAGGAGGGACGAGAGAGAGACAGAGAGACACACAGAGAGATTTTTTGATTTTTTAGAAAAACACTTTATTTTACATTTTTTCAAAACCAAGACAAAGCAACAAAAAAACAAACAAAGCAAAATTATATTCCATGCCATAAAAACAGGAGCAAACACCAATTCATTCTTTTCCACTGAGCACACAACATTATTAAAACACCACCGTTGTTTAAAAGTGTCTACGTCCCCAATGTGTCTATAAAAGCGGAACTCCAGCCAGAGCCTGAACCTGATGTTCACCAGCCACACTGCTCTGGCCTCCTGCCCCTCTCTGTCCTTCACTCTGGCCTCCTGCCCCTCTCCGTCCTTCACTCCGGCCTCCTGCCCCTCTCCGTCCTTCACTCCGGCCTCCTGCCCCTCTCTGTCCTTCACTCTGGCCTCCTGCCCCTCTCCGTCCTTCACTCTGGCCTCCTGCCCCTCTCCGTCCTTCACTCTGGCCTCCTGCCCCTCTCCGTCCTTCACTCTGGCCTCCTGCCCCTCTCCGTCCTTCACTCTGGCCTCCTGCCCCTCTCCGTCCTTCACTCTGGCCTCCTGCCCCTCTCCGTCCTTCACTCTGGCCTCCTGCCCCTCTCCGTCCTTCACTCTGGCCTCCTGCCCCTCTCCGTCCTTCACTCTGGCCTCCTGCCCCTCTCCGTCCTTCACTCTGGCCTCCTGCCCCTCTCCGTCCTTCACTCTGGCCTCCTGCCCCTCTCCGTCCTTCACTCTGGCCTCCTGCCCCTCTCCGTCCTTCACTCTGGCCTTCCTGCTTTTGGCTTCCCCTGAAAGATAGTTGAGGAGCTGCCATTTTTCTTTTCCTGCTTTCTTGTAGGCAGCTCCCATGATAAAAATCTTTTCAGTAAAAACCACATTAAAAAGACTAAAAACCGATGTTAAAAGAGAGAAGAAACTCGCAAGTCTCTTGCACTCTGTACAAACATGATAAATAGTCTCTCGGAGGTCACAGAAGGGGCATTTGCTCAGAACAGTGGGATTAATAACAGAAATAAAAGCGTTGGAGGCGACAGCACCGTGTAAAATTCTCCACTGGAGGTCGGCAGTCCGTTTCTTGAGGGGAGGCTTGTATAAAGTCCTCGACTGTGGGCCCGGTCCATTTTGTCCCAGTCTGTTGGACCACACAGTGGGGAGCCTGTCGCACAGTCCGGACCGGTTTATGCTCTTCACACAGTTAAAATACAGAGTCTTCTTGTCTGCTTCGTGCAATGTCAGCGCTTCGGGGCGTGTTGTGGCGAGCAGGGGGCCGGTGAGTTCCCCTAGTCCTGGGCTCAGGTAGATCTCGGGGAAGGGGTCTGCAGGGTCCGGCTCCACCTCTTTCTGGCTGTAGTCTGTGAGGTGGCTCCTTTCCCCCTCAGTCAGCCTCTGGTTCCACAGCTCCAGGAGCCTCCTCGCCATCCGGACGGAGTGCAGCCCCAGCAGAGAGCCCAGGGCCGGGGCGTCGCTCAGCGTCGGCCCCACTGCGTCCACCAGCTGCTGCAGGCACAGGACTCGTGCTTTCAGCAGCGCCCCCATCAGGCCTGGGGTACCACTGCTGCTGATGTCCAGCCTTGCTCTGTAGATCAAAGGTTCTCTCAACAACCAGTACAGAGAGAAAGACTGTGGGCACCTTTTATGATTAAAAAGGGCCCAAGACTTAAAAACACCCTGATAAAACGGAGGTAGCCCATTTAACTTTAAAAATGTAGAATCAATTAAAAACAGAGCAGTATCCAGCCCCAGGTTGTTTGCACGTCTAAAAATGCAGCTGGCCACGTCCCTCCATACTAAAACCTCCGGACCTGTGAGATATTTCTGTAAAAACGAGTCTAAAAGTGGTCGTCCGGCTGGCCAGGTGGACGAGGCCCTGCCCCCCCTCCTCTCTGGGTAAAAACAGCACCCCTTGTGGCACCCAGTGTAGACCCCCCCAAAAGAAATCCACCATTTTCTTCTGTAAGTTGGCAAGGAAGCCTGAGGGAGGGTCCAGGCAGGTGAGACGGGGCCACAGCTGGGATGCAATCAGGTTGTTTAAAACCAAAACTCTACCTTTAAAAGAGATTTGAGGGAGCAGCCATTTCCATTTGGAAAGTTTCCCCTCTATCTTCTCTGTGACGCCCTCCCAGTTCTTCTGGACGATGCTCTCTTGTCCCAGATAAATCCCCAGGTATTTAAAGCTATCTTTCCTCCATACTAGGCTTTGGGGAAGAACCGGGAGGCCGCCACGCCATTCACCGACAGCGAGGGCTTCACTTTTTTTCCAGTTCACCCTCGCTGCCGATGCCTTACTAAGACTTTTCACGATGTTATTTAAAAGGTCTGCATCCCTCTGGTCTTTAATAAAAACAACAACATCGTCGGCATACGCCGATAAAATCATCCTTCTACTAAAAGCAGGTAAAACCAGGCCCTCCAGGCTAGAGCGTATTTTGCCGAGAAGGGGTTCCAGGGAGAGTGCATAGAGCATCCCGGACAGAGCACAACCCTGCCGGACCCCTCTATACACTCTAAAAGGAGCACACAGACTGCCGTTTATCTTCAGCACACTCTC